CTATTAGGTGAGCGGGCACAACCCCCAGGCGCAGTGGTGTGCGTCTCTAACCCCAGCCACTCAAGAAGCTGAGGGCGGAGGACCCCAGAGTGCAGGGGTCTGAATATGCACTGAACTGTGACTGCACCGCTGCACTCCAGCCTGGGCAACAGAGTGAAACACTGCCTCTAAAAAATAAAAGTCGGTTGGGCACGGTGGCTCACACTTAACAATCCCAGCATTTTGGGAAGCCAAGGCAGGTGGATAGCTTGAGCCCAGGAGTTTGAGACCGGCCTGGGCAACATAGTCAGACACTATCTCTACAAAATAAAAATGCAAAAAATTGGCCGGGCGCCGTGGCTCACGCCTGTAATCCCAGCACTTTGGGAGGCCGAGGCGGGTGGATCATGAGGTCAAGAGATCGAGACCATCCTGGTCAACATGGTGAAACCCCGTCTCTACTAAAAACACAAAAAATTAGCTGGGCATGGTGGTGCATGCCTGTAATCCCAGCTACTCAGGAGGCTGAGGCAGGAGAATTGCCTGAACCCAGGAGGCGGAGGTTGCAGTGAGCCGAGATCGCGCCATTGCACTCCAGCCAGGGTAATGAGCGAAACCCTGTCTCAAAAAAAAAAAAAAAAAAAGCAAAAAATTAGCTGGGTGTGGTGTTGCATGCCTGCAGTCCCAGACACTCGGGAGGCTCATGTGGGAGAATCACCTGAGCCCCAAAGGTGAAAGCTGCAATAAGCGCCCCTACATTCCAGCCTGGATGTCGAAGTGAGACCCTGTCTTGAAAAATAAAATAAAGCAAAATTGTTCTTTACTGAAAAAGCAAATCCAACTACATGCTATCTATAAGAAAGCCACTTTAAATTCGAAGACAGAGACAGATTAAAAGTGAAAGGGCAGAAAATGATGTACCATGCAAATGTTAGCAAAAGAAAGTTGAGCAGCTGTGTTAAAATCGGACAACACAACCTTTGAAACAGGTAGTAAGTTTTTGTTTTTTTGTGACAGAGTCTCTCTGTTCCCCCGGCTGGAGTGCAGTGGTGCGATCTAGGCTCACTGCCACCTTCACCTCCCGAGATCAAGCAATTCTCCTGCCTCAGCCTCCCAAGAAGCGGGGACTACAGGCATGTGTCACAGTAGGCGGCTAATTTTTGTATTTTCAGTAGAGATGGGGTTTCCCCCATGTTGGCCACCCTGCTCTCAAACTCCTGAGCTCCAGCCTCCCTAAGTGCTGGGATTACAGGCATAAGCCACTTGTGCCCAGTCTGAGACACATCTCTCTAGAAAACCGTTCCAGTGAACAATGAATAATAAACAATAAAAAGCAGTACCATTTTGAAACCTCCAGTGAAACAAACAACAAATATAGGTAGTAAGCATCGGCGGCTACCAGAATCAGTATCGGAGAAAGAAAGACAGCCAGACCACACGGCCCTTCACTTGGGTCTAAAACCAGCCCACACTCAAGAGTCCTACAAAGGGGCCGAACTTGTAAGGTTGCTAAATTAATGAATTTTTTTTTTTTTTAAAGAGGTGGGGTTTCGCCATGTTGCCCAGGCTGATCTTGAGCTCTGGGACTCAAGTGATCCTTCTTCCTCGGCCTGCCAAAGTGCTGCAATTACAGGCATTAGCCACTGCACCCAGCCTTTCCAAGTTCTGCAAGAAACACAGAGGAACCTGCTGAATTGCAACTTGAGTGTGCAAAATCCAGATGATGGGAGCCTTGAAGCTTCCAATGGCGTGGGTTGTTCAACAGATACACTGAATGAAAAAGACGGGACCATGAACAATACAGAAACAGAAGGACAGATGGGCAGCAGGGCTGTAGGTGAAGCTACAAGTAACACAGAAAGCAGGAGCTGTGGGAGCCGGGCAGAGGCCGCTGGGCGGGCAGGTCACACTCGCGGACAGGCAGGGGGAGCGCCCCAGGCTCCACTTCCCGACCTTGGTGGTGTTTACCAGAGCTCAGTTGAGACAGATTTGTTCAGCCCAATGTTTGTTTTGTATGGTCTTCTGGATGTACATTTAATTTAATTTAATTATTATTTTGAGTTTTCTAGCCAAAAAATAAATCAGAGCAGAAGGATAAGGCAGAAAGATCGCTTCAGTTCAGAAGATCAAGACTAGCTTGGGCAACATGGTGAAACCCCATCCCTTAAAAAAATAAGAGACCCATGTTTAATTTTAAACAAAAAAACTTTGCGTACATTGAATTCAGAGAAGACCATGAGTCATTAAGAATGTGAAGGGAGAAAGGCAGGTGGAGAGGGGACAGAGAGAAGCAAAATCAAGCCCTCTGGATGCCACTAGAGGTTGTTAGACCCATTCACTAACAAGCAGCTGCTGATTCTGCCAATCCAGCTGAAGCTTGTTTCAGAGGTACCAAACAGCCCTAGCAGATGTGGGGAAGTTTTCCGCACCAAAAAATTCCAGCCTGTGCTTGCCGTAGGAACGACAGAATGGCAAAATCACCATCTCGCAACTCTGAATGAAACAATGGATGCAGGCAGTGGTCACCAAGGACAATGCAGCTTTCGGGCAGACAGGAGGCCGCCCCAGAAACCCAGGGCCTTCTTGGCAACACTCCCAGCACACGAACCTCCAGAATTAAATCATAAAGTAAAAATCTGCGGTACTTACATGTAAACCAAGGCTTCAGATCTAACTTTCAGGGCTACAGGAACGAAGGCAAATGACTTGACAACACAAGAAAGTTACAAGCTAAATCCAGAATCTCGAATCGAGATTCTCTCAGTCAACAGTGTGGCAAATGGGAAGAGGCAGGGGCAGAGAGAATGTTTTGGATTGAAAAAAACACAAAAAACCTAAGAGACATTGCAGCAGATTGATCTAATGAGTGGATCCAGTCTGGATCCAATTAGAAAGAGGAAAAAAAAAAGAAAAGGCATTTTGTTAACAGACCTTTGACCACGGAATGGGCACCAAATAATAATAGGAAATTGTGATTTTTGTCACATGTGAAAATGCATTGCTGTTACATGATGGTCCCTTTTTTCTTAATAGAAATATACTGTGCTATTCAGTAGTAAAACGGGGTTTGCTTAAAAATAGTAAGTAGTTCAAAACCAAGAAAGGAGGGTGGGGGAGAGCACGCCGGTGACGGAGGAGCCTAAGCAGAGAACTCCAAGGGCTAACCGTGCCCTCACTTTTCACGACGAAAAGTTCTTTCAAAGCAAACGAGAGGCTCTGCGGAGGGCCGAGTGTGGCAGAATATGCGGCGAGTGACATGAATATTCAGAGATGGGAGAAGCCATCACACGGGGAGCCCGCCGGGCACACGTGTGCAGATGAGAGGTGGTGAAGCACATGCCGCTTAGCCAGGCTGGAACAAGACAGAAGCAGCGCCGGTTTCGGAGTCTAAGAAAAGCACGTGAACTGGAAACGTGGAGATACAGACAGTTAAGTCACAGGGAAGCATGTGTCAAATGGACCTGCCTCCATCGGATCCTGCCTTACACCTACAGGGAAGGAGAAGAGGAGTAGAACCAATGGTCCTCAAACTGTGGTCCCTGGACCAGAAGCATCAGGGGAAACTGGGAACACTTTAGAAAAGTAAACTCCCAGCCAGGCGAGACCTACTGAATCAGAAACCCCGGCCACGCTCACAGGCGCCAGGGTGAGGGCCGTGGGCTAACCTGGCTGGCCTGTTCCAGGGCCCTGCCCACTCTACCCGGCTGCTGCCTGTGCTCCCCGACACAACGGTGGGCCTCCACCTTTGGAATGAGGCTCCATTCCTGCCTTCTCCACAGCGGACGGTGAGTCTGGCCCGCCGCATGGCCTCTCACAGGCCTCACCTGTACAACCTGGGCAACGGTCTATGCTGCACATGCTGCCATGAAACCTGGAAGAGCTACCTATGCAAAGGCTTGGAGTGGTGCCTGGCATTGCTACATGAATGGCTGCTCCTGTTAATAGTTCATTAATTTCTAAAACGTGCAGCTAAGACTCAATAATCGAGTTGAAGATGGCTCCACTGGCCAAAAAGATCAGGAAACTCAATGGAGCAACAGGCTGACACCCATGCCCATGAGCTGGCTTTGGCCGGCAGCAAATGCAAGCCTGGGGCAGCCAGACACCCGAGCTGTGTGACCGCGTGTGATGCCTCTCAGGGCCTGGGGCCAACAATCCTCCTGCTCGGCCCCTCCCCATGGCCAGCCATGGTCATGAGGCTCTAAGAGCTGAAAGAAATCTTCAGGAGAAATTCTCAGAAAATAATAATTCCGTCTGTGCTCTCCTGTTCCCCCTCTCCTGTTCCAGAGGCAGCAGGGACAAGGCATGGTGAACCCGCTGAGTCTGTGATCCCTGGTGACGGGAGGGAAGGGGCCGAGGCCCGGCCTGCCGGAAACCACAGTTCTGGGCACACCTTGGTGTGACTGTCCTGCCTCAATCTACCCACTTAGTTTACTGCAAGGTAGGAAAAACCTTGACAAAACCATGATCATAAAAGAGAAACACAACAGGCCATTTTCTTTTTTCTTTTTTTATGACAGAGTCTTGCTCTGTCACTCAGGCTGGAGTACACTGGCACCATCTGGACACTACAGCCTCCGCCTCCCAGGTTCCAGCAATTCTCCTGCCTCAGCCTCCTGAGTAGCTGGGACTAAAGGCGTGTGTCACCACACCCTGCTAATTTTTGTATTTTTAGTAGAGACAGGGTTTCACCATGTTGGCCAGGCTGGTCTCCATCTCCTGACCTTGTGATCCATCTGCCTCAACCTCCCAAAGTGCTGGGATTACAGGTGTGAGCCACCGCGCCTGGCCACAACAGGACATTTTCATTCAAAAAACGTGTCTACACAATCCTCCTTTTTAATAAGCTCTCCAGGGATTTCGGTATCGGGACCTGCTCGGCTGGTTTTGTGCAGAAGCCACTCAGGCTCCCTCCCTGGTCATGCAGTGCAACTCACTGGAGGGGGCTGGGGGGCCGCGGCTGGGCTGGGCTTTCTCACCCCTTTCTCGTGGCTGCTTTAAATGAAAGCAAACGTGCTTACTTCATGGTCCACGCTCTCGGTAGCCATGCACTGGCTGTTGGCCAGAGTGGTGATCTCTCGGCTTTTCGGCGTTTCCATCCGGCAGCTGCAGAGAGGCACTTCCTGGAGGCCGTCTGTCTCCAGCACGTCCGGACCGTTAGCCAACCCTAACATCACACAGACACATGTCAGCTCAGGCAGTCCTAACCTCAAAAGAATCATCTAGAAAGCAATTGGTTATAGAGTCTCAACAGTGCTCTCCCACGCCAGGAAATAAAAGCAATGCAGTTGATTACCTAGGCACAAACAGCCCTGCAAGGAGGGTGGGAGGTGGGGTGGGGGTGGCTGTGGGAGGTGGGGTGGGGGTGGCTGTGGGGCTGGGCAGTGCCCCACAGGCCCACGGATGGCCACCACCCGGGCAACATAAAGGAGTGGCCTGTGCCTCCCCAACTAACAAACCCCCTGCCAGGGTCTCAAGAGGCACCTGTTAACCTGTGTTCTCAGGACCCAGGACACAAGTTCCAAAGCCAGAGGCTGGTACCTCTGGCAGCCCTCTGGCAGCAGCTCCTAAATCTTTTGGTTTTCAAACAAAAGCGCATTAATTACCCTTTAAAGATCTTGTTTTCATACTTGGTTTTAAAATGGCAGCCACCAAAAAAAAAAAACAAATAAATAATCAGTTTGGAAGGGTTTAATAACAGTTCATCTATTATCTAGAATTCCACTCACCTACTGCAATAATCCACAGAGCCCATTTATCAGGCTGAAAGAGGAAAGATAAACTAGAGGAGAATGAGAGCTCAACATGTGGCTGACAGTGACAGCGTCGTCCACAGGGCAGGCTGCGGTCAACAGGCGGCCTTGGGCCAGTCCCAGCATAGCCAGGTCTGCTGCCCCCACACCCCGTCCCCAGCCTGGGGCGGGCGAGACCAGCAAGGCCAAGGCTGTTGAGTGGCAGAGGCAGGGTGGAGGCTGCCGCCAGGAAGACCCTCAAGCGTGGCAAGGGGCTACAGTGGATGCTGCTCCCAAAGGAAGCCAGATCACAATTCACATTTTCTTTCTGGTTAAACAGTCAAAGCAGAAATAGAAGGTGAACCAGTGTCTCAAATACTCACTATTAACTCTGAATTAAAAATAATTAACTCTTGTTTTCACATCTAAAAACACACTGTTGAAGTATATTAAAACAGAGACCAGGGCCAAAGAATCCATGAACAGACAAGGCCAGTTGAGCCAAGGAGGCCATCTTGACCTTGCCTGATTTGAAAACAAAGGCTATCTTGGGCTACTTCTTGCACATGCCTCTAATAAAGAAAAGTAAGACTTGAGCTCTACTACTGAGAAGCAGCCAAGCCATCTCTGTCCCTGGGGTCTTTCCAGCAGGACGGAACAAATGACGCACGTGCGCCACGAAGCAATCGGGCACTTTCTGGGCTCAGCTTCCGTGTCCACCCTGAAAGCCTTCCCCTTGCATTTCCTCAGTGTGGCTCCCACCATGCTTCTGGTTTGGAGCTGCCCAGTTCATCAATCGCTGCTCAAGGAAACCCTTTAAAAACTGCCTTGTGCCTTCGTTCATCTTTTAACAACACCCGGGCTGAGTCACCCACAGTCACTTCTGTTGGTCTCTAGCCCGTCTGTATTCTGATACTGGTCACAGCCAGGAGAGAATCCGAATCTGCGCAAAGGGCCGATGAGCATGTGAACGGCACGCACTGCCATCCACGGGTCTCTCTGTGTGGGAAGGCAGCCTCCCGATATCACCGACTCCGGCACAGAGGCACGTCCTAATCATGGGCTGCCCAGGGTCCCACCCTCACCTCTGGATCACCTGTACCCCTAAAGACCAGGAGAACGATGAAGTGAAACTTGAATTCGAATCTCTACAAGTTTAAAGCTGGGCAGGCCTCTGAGATGATCCTGCCCGGCAACCTGATTTTTAAAAGGAGAAAATAGACATGAGCCACACAAGGCTGTATGATAACTTTCTAACATAGTGCTGGCCAATGGTGGCCGAGAGACTGTGATGGGACAGGTGAAAACCCAGGGCCAACACGCTTGGATGACACTGCAGCAGCTCAGACACCACTGTGGACGTGGAGTGCTTCTGTTCCCACAGTGAGGAACTGCCAGGAACATCAAATGAAATGATTTAAGAAACCCTCAAGCAATCAATCTCCACCAAGCTCTGGCTCTCCTGCCCCAGTCCACATTGCCATGGTTACAGGCTCCTGGCCTCTCCCAGGCTCAGACCCTCAGCCTCCTACTGCTGCTGGGTTACATACTCAGGCTCAATTCGGCAGGCCCAAGAGCAAGGCAACGGGGAAAGAGACGAATGCATACGGAGAGGACTTCTCATCTTCATATTCTCTCCTTGGCCCAAGGCTCCAGCCTGGACCCGAGCCCATGAGCCACAACCACAGGCACCACCTGCCCCCACCGACCCGCTCAGCACACTGCACAGGCCGGTCGTGCCCACCCCATCTGAGCCGCACACCACCCAGGTCTCCCAGGGCCCGGGCTCCTGCCCTCCTGTCCAGTGCCACTTGACCACTGCTCCCTCTGGGGTCCCGAGCCACACGGCCAGCACCAGCACAGGGGTGACACTGCCTGTCTCTTCCCCATGCTGATTCTCTACACCAAGAACACAACTGAACGGGCCAATCGCTGACTGACCAATTGGTGCTGATCAAACACAGGTAAATAAATTCTGGGAGGTCAGTGTGTAAAGTGTCCTGCAAGCTGAGGGGCCCCTACTGGCTGCTGTCCCTCCTCCGGCTTCGCGTTGGAGTTCGCCGTCCTGGCCCTGAGACCAGCACCATCCGCCCCCTACGGCCACTCTCCTCCCTTTTGCCAGAGGCCAGAGGTGAACTCCGACAGGTGGCAGAACCCTCACGTGCCAGCTCCTCTGTCTCCTGCCACTCAGCACGCCCAAGGCCACCACAGCAGAGTCGACTCGATAAAATGAAATACTACTTCCTACGTAAAACCAAGTAACTTCCTGAGACCTCTAACTCTAAAAGCAAGTTCAGAAAACTGAAACACTCCATGTTATACTTAATCAAGAAAGAAAGTGTGGGGTGAGTGTGCTAAGGACTTCACAACACTTGAGGGAGGTTTCTGCTCCACTTGGTGCAGGAGGAAAACAAATCGTCGTTTGCCTGACGGACAAGGTTAAGGTTTCTATCTTCAGCCAAAGATGTGATTTCCTAGGTGAGTTACATACATGACTCAAACCTTCATCAGTGTTCAAAACCCTAAAAAGCTAGTTACTTTGTCATTTAAAATGGCCCACTAAACCCCTACAGTTGTCTGCAATGCCACACACTAAACCCCTACGGTCGTCTGCAATGCCACACGCTAAACCCCTACGGTCGTCTGCAATGCCACACGCTAAACCCCTACGGTCGTCTGCAATGCCACACGCTAAACCCCTACGGTCGTCTGCAATGCCACACGCTAAACCCCTACGGTCGTCTGCAATGCCACACGCTAAATCCCTACGGTCGTCTGCAATGCCACACACTAAATCCCTACGGTCATCTGCAGTGCCACACCAGCAAGCTCTGTGTGCAATGTAAACAGCAGCTTTTCATTTCCTCCACATCAGGCTTCAAATACATCTTCCCAAATAATCAAACAGCTATTAGCTACTTTTCACTGATAGAAGGTTTCTAAGTGGCTTAAAAAGAGAAAAAAACTGAGACAAAGTGTGAGAAATGACAACTTCTAGCACAAGAACTCCCAACAGAAGCTCCTGATGCACCTGTGATTTGGAGGCGCAAAAATACACACAGTCCGAATATTCCATCACAGAATATATCTCCGAACTCTCAGCTCAACACTGCCCAGGGACGTGTTCCAGCCAATCAGAGACCACCAGAGACACCTTATTCAACAGTCTGTCCCCGTGTGCTGAGCCGCCACCGGGGAGAAAGGGCCTGGCCATGAGCGATCCTCCACGAAGCGCGCCTGACCCACGGTGGAAAACAGACGACGGCCATGGCCGGGCCTCGTGTGCGCTTTGCAGTTTACTCTAGGAGGGTTCCCGTAATTTCTGCTTCTTCACCTGCACACCGTGACACGGCAAATGCACCCTGTCCTGTCTGCACCTCACCAGGAGGAGAGGCGTTTAACCTGATCTTCTACTAAGGTCCACCGGGGGCATCGTGCCAACAGAGAGGAGAGAGCCCTGAATACAAAGGACCAAGATGGTGCCTGGTCTCAGTTACAACACCGAGTTCACCTTCTGCTTGTGAGGACAGAATTCCTTTGACGCGGAGATCCAGGGAGTCCAGAGAAACTTCCATGTACCCCGTGCTGTCTCCTGGTGCTGTCTGTTCAGTGCTTCCTGAAGATGACTTATACGGCTCAGAACCTAGGTACGAAACGTACACACGTCAGACGCCCTGTGCCCGGGCGGCCGCACCCACCCAGACACCACAGGGCAGCCAGGCTGAGGCCCCAGGAAATGGACTACTTCAAATTAATCCATTCAAAACCACAAGCTGAAACCCACTACTGTTTAGGCCACCCCAGTTTCCAGTTTCACTATCACTTCTCTCCCACATATTATTTTGCTGATTCTCCCTTTTAGACGTAATATTCATGGGGGAGGAGAGACGCTGTGCAGACAGAAACAAAGGCATCAAGGTTTCAGTACATCTTTCTCTGTAACTATACCAACTTCATACAAGCTATCAAATAATCAAAGAAACAGATAAAAACATGATACTCCTATGTTGTGGATTATTTTTAAATAAAATAAAAATCTAACTTACGGATTTGAAAGATCAGATGTAAAATAGCTAAAGAGATGGCCCAAGGGGCTGTGTTGCGGGGAAATCTGTGCCAGAGGGAAAGCACTGGCACCCAGGGAGGCCCCCGGAAAGGCTCGGTGTCAACCCCAGTAGACACGGTAGGCTCATGACACCCACAGAAGGAGCTAGGGTGCTGTGAGAAGAACTGGCACCCCTGGGCTGGCAGCAAGGGCAGCAGTGGGCGCAAACAATTCTGTGGGTTCCTCTGCCCTCAAGGACACATGAGTGGTGGCCAGGCCAGCCTGTCCACACTTCCCAGGAGGGCAGGAGGAAGATGTACAAGATTGGGTGTTTGTAATCACAAGGGTATTTCACTGCAGAGGCCTGTGAAAGGATGAGCCTTTGCTCATTCTCACCAGGTAACATCTAACTCTGGCAAAGGGTAGACATACACATTTCACAGCCAAGCTTCTGGGGATTTATTTCAATGACATTTATTTCTAGAAATGAACACTAGTACAGAGGTATGGTAACCAGTCTTTTAATTCAAGGCACATGCTCCACCTAGATCTTAGACAGACAGCAAAAGTCAACCACCCCTGAGAAATCACCATCATCAACTTGAAGAACAGGAATACTCTTCGTATAGTTTTAAACGAAAAGATTTAAAAAAAAAAAAATCATGAAGAAATAAAATTCAAACTCCTATGTGAATATTTAAAGGCAGGCATTTTGCACATTATAGCCAAGATGACAAAGATGAAATCTCTATCCCAAAAATAACTTTTAGCCTTGCCTGTACACATGCTTCTGTTGGCCAACAGTACAAGCCACATCTGGTGTTATGATCTGAATCAATAAACTGAGGTGAAAAGAAACATAACTGAAGGAGCACACGCAGCTCCCGGGGCGGGGAGGGGCACTCGCATCCTCCACCCTCAAACTCCAGGAGCCTCCACGGTGACTGCCTCACACCCCAGGCCTTCCACAACCCTCTGTTTCAGGGAGGGACTGCCAGTTAACACACCTACTCTACACTGGGAAATCTAGAGTAGCCACAATCACTGTGAAAAAAAACTAAGTGCTGCCGCCCTGTGACACTGGTATAAGGATAAACAGATGAATAAATGAAGCAGACTGGAACATCCAGGGACAGCCTCACACTGACAGTCAACAGGAGGAGAAAAGTCAATTCAGCCAGTAGTACCTATGGCAACTGCACATCCAGTGCAAAGAAGAGGCTGCACCACAGCTCACTCAAACCTGAGTGCAGGATGGGCTGGCACGCAGGCGCCAGACCTGCAAAATGTCAGGAAGAAAACACGGGGCAAAACCTCCGCGGCTGGGTCTGTCAAGAGATTTCTTAGAACACAAAAGTAGGAACCATGAAGCACAACTCGTAACTTAGACTTCAAGGAAATTTAAAAAACTTTTGCTCTTCTAAATGCAGCATTAAGAAAATGAAGGCCGGGCGCGGTGGCTCAAGCCTGTAATCCCAGCACTTTGGGAGGCCGAGGCAGGTGGATCACGAGGTCGAGAGATCGAGACCATCCTGGTCAACATGGTGAAACCCCGTCTCTACTAAAAATATAAAAAATTAGCTGGGCATGGTGGCGCGTGCCTGTAATCCCAGCTACTCAGGAGGCTGAGGCAGGAGAATGGCCTGAGCCCAGGAGGCGGAGGTTGCGGTGAGCCGAGATCGTGCCATTGCACTCCAGCCTGGGTAACAAGAGCAAAACTCCGTCTCAAAAATAAATAAATAAATAAATAAATAAAAAGAAAATGAAAAGGCAGGTCAGAGACTAGCTACAAATACATGCAAAACATCCAGAATATTTAAAAAGCTCTTTTAAACCAATGAGAAGAAAAACCATCAGATTTTTTTTTTTTGAGACGGAGTTTCACTCTTGTTACCCAGGCTGGAGTGCAATGGCGTGATCTCAGCTCACCGCAACCTCCGCCTCCTGGGTTCAGGCAATTCTCCTGTCTCAGCCTCCTGAGTTGCTGGGATTACAGGCACGCACCACCATGCCCAGCTAACTTTTTGTATTTTTAGTAGAGACGGGGTTTCACCTTGTTGACCAGCATGCTCTCGATCTCTTGACCTCGTGATCCACCACGCCCGGCCCCAAACCATCAGATTTTAAAGTAAGCAAAGATGTGAACAGACAGGTTTCAAAAGAAAATAAACGAACGTGAAAATACACAGTCTCATTACTCATTAGGTAAAAGCAAATTGAAACTACAATGAAACACCACTGCACATCCATAGAGCTGCTGAAATTAAAAAGACTAACCCTAACAAGTGCTGACAAGGACACAGGGGAACTGGAATGTTCAGGGGCTGTTGTGGAGATCTAAAACAGGAGGAGTGCTTAGAAACCAGCTTGGCAGCTTTCCGAAGAGCTGAACACACCCACTCTATTCAGCCATTCCGCTCCCAGACAGCTAGCCAACATCTAGGAAGGCACCTATTCAAAAAGACTTGCACACAAATGTTCACAGCCACTTAGTTTCTAACAGCCCAATGATTGAAAGAGCCCAAAGCCCACAGACAGAGTGACTGTGGGGCAGCCACACAATGGGACAATTCTCAGCAACAGAGAGAAACAAACTCCTGGCCATATGACAGCCCAGCAAGTCCAAACAATTATGCCTAGAGAAGCCAGATGAAAAAACTGCACAATTCTTTCTACATAATTCTACAAAGCACTAACGAATAATCAGACACAGAGCAGACCAGCGGCTGCCTGGAGGCAGGGAAGGGAGGCAGGAAAGGGACCAGGTTATCAAGGAGCAGAAGGGACCTGGGGCGACAAGAGGCACTGATGGCACCAATCAGCTGACCGTGGTGATGGATTCAAGGTCATAAACACATAAAACTCCTCAAATTTTGTGATTTATTTCTGTACCAAGGTCATAAACACATTAAAACTCATCAAATTTTGTGATTTATTTCTGTACATTTTATTGTATGCCAACTGTACCTCCAGTTAAGCTGGGAAAACAAAACAAAACAAAACAAAACAAAACAACGGCCTTGGCACCCTAAACCTGCTGCATCCCTTCGGGGTTTGAGGAAATTTCCTTCCCACATTCACGTGTGATTCACAGGGGTCGCTCTGGAACAGGAGACTCTGACTGTGGTGCAGGTGGTTCTCTGAGGGCCATTTCCTGCACACCACGTGGAAGCTGTCCATGCAGGCCACAGCTTCCAATCACCCAGGCAGGCAGCGAATGATTCACCTTCAACAGTGAAGTCGGGGCCGGGCGCAGTGGCTCATGCCTGTAGCCCAGCACTTTGGGAGGCCAAAGCAGGCAGAATGCTTGAGCTCAGGAGTTTGAGACCAGCCTGGCCACATAGCAAAGCCCCATGTCTACCTAAAAATTACAAAACAATAAGCCAGGCATGATGGCACATGCCTATATTCCCAGTTACTTGGGGAGCTGAGGTGAGAGGACTGCCTGAACCCAGAAGGTGGAGGCTGCAATGAGCTGAGATCATGCCACTGCACTCCAGCCTGGGCAACAGAACCAGACTCCGTCTCAAAAATAAATATATAAAAATTCAAAAACAACACCAACAAGAAGTCCATGTCGCCTGCCTCTTTCAGAAGGAACTACTCCACAGCCACCGGAGTCTCTCTCGCAAAGTCATTCCGAGTGTTTTCTAAAACAGTGGGGCCCTCTTTTCAAATGAAATACTATGCACCCCAACCCCAGGTGGGCCTCGCCTCCTGCCCCATGCCTCTCCCAGGCAGTCCCCGAGACCACCCCACAAGAAGGGGCTGGAGCCCACATGCCCTCTGTGTTTACCGAGGGCACCGCTGGGCTTCTTTCTACTTCTCCGCCTCCTCTTCCTGGCTGGCTTGATCCAGGGACTGTCGGTCTTCCCTTTCCTTTTGAGAAACTTCTTCTTGATGCTGGATTCAGAACTCTGGGGAACCAAACGAGCAGGCATATAAATCACTGAGCACAGGAAGCTAGGGAAGGCAAGAGCACTACAAGTGTTGTTTCCCTGCAAAACAAAACACTGGCCATGTCTTAATCTCCAATTAAACGGCAAATTTAGCTTGTAGACATTTTCCTGGGTCACACGCTTAAAGGCACCCTGTGCTTTCTCCTAAGCACCTCTCTAAGCTTAGTCCCTTTAGAGGAAACATAAAAACAAAAACAAAATTAAAATGAACTTTATACATCTTCTTTGAATTTGACACAAAAAAAAATAAGTACATTGGAAAGTTCTAGTCAGGAACTAAATCAAGAAGCCTAGGGAAAGGATCCATGGCTGCTCCTCAGTGTCCGTTCATCTCACAAGAAAGAATAATGAATATGCAATCTGCTTCAGAATCTATACCCACATCAATGATCTACGCAGAGAACAAGGCGGCCGTTATAATTAACCTGTAATATTGGTGCAGCAAGGGCATCCATGCCACACGTCCCACACGGATGCAGAGAAGGTGCTCCTGCCCTCCACGGGAGGCCACGTGAAGGCCACAGTGCCTGCTTCCAGTGGACAGAGGGACACTTAAGGCAGGCACAGATGCAGCACGCAGGCTGTGCCGACCCCCTGAACTTGTTCCTGCACAAGCTTTGTTGCCGGACAGCCTTCTGTCGCAAGTTGGGTCCCCTGCGAGGACGGTACTGGAATGCTGTCTGCGGCACACACAGCCCTGGCTCCCGGTGCTCCCCGCACAGCAAAACCTTTGAGAACAACACGTGCAGGTGCTGCACCCAAAGTCGCTGCTGCTGGAAATCTAGCTGCCCCGCTGTCCACCCTCAACAAAGACAGACACCTCTGCCATCAAACACCACGGCCCCTCCGAGTCCTCCTCCCGCTCACTGGTGTGCCAGGGTCACACCATGGGCCACTTCTCCTGCTGCAGACCATTTCCCAATTTGTGTGACCCCAACTTGCCGAGCTTCTTCCCACGGCACAGAGCTCCTCCTCAGACACATGAGCCAACTTCTCCCCTATGGAACCCTCACAAGCTGGGGGTTTCCTGAGGCTCCATCCCAGTGACTCATTGCTCTTCCCCATTTCCAAGCCCCAATTCCTGCAGACCAGGCTGCACAACTCTGATCTGGACCCTCCTCCAGGAATAACAGGCATCAGTAGGGACACAGCGGAACCACTCTTCCCTCCTGTCCTCGCCACCAAAACGTTCTGTCCATTCTACCTCGAAACACCTCAAATCCAGCCCTTCCTTCTCACACATCAGCCAATGCAGCAGAATCCCAAACAGCTGTCCTTGCTATCCCGGGTCCCTCTATGGCCTTTCCTCCGAGAGTGTCCACAGGCCCCTCAATTCCACCCGCCCAGCATGCGGTGGGGGCAGCCCCATGCCAGGCCCAGCCCTGTGCTGCAGGGACAGGACCATATGCGGCCATTGCCATGACCAGCTCCAAGCACACGTGTGAAGTGCTCAGGCACAGGGCTGGGTAAAGGACTGAAGGGTGCTGGTGTCTCTGCATCTCCTCTACTTCAGCACAGACGTGGAAGGAGGGGCTGGGCATTACCAGGTCAGACTCGTCGCCGCCTTCCTCCTCCTCCCCGGTGTCGGCCGACTCCTGCTCCTCCTCAGACTCCCCGTCCATCTGATCAGCCACACAGTCGAAGCGGGAACCCAAACAGAAAACAGAAACCAATTACATCCTTTAGTGGCAGATGATGGACCCAAAACAAACCTCGAAACGCGCTGGCGGCGCACGCCAGAGACGCTTGCAGTGGGGATGCCTGCCTGCTCCAGGCCTGGCTGGTGTGTGGGGCCCAGGCAGGGCGAGAGACGCACTCTGGACTTCCACTCCTGCTCCCTGGTCCTGTCTCCACACAGGCACTGGAGCGTGGCTGCACCGGTGCAGCCTCAGGCAAGGGCTCACCCACTGGATGCTGCACTAGTGAGCGTCAGGTGCTCAAGGTATGTTATGAGACGAAGAATTCAATAAACAGGCCACAAAACACATAGAACAATCATAAAAAGATTTTCAGAGGCCACAGAACAATACACAGTGTGAGACCTGCCCCCACATACCCACGATCCCAGTCCAACCCCGGAGCCACCACGGTTAAGCTGCCCAAGCCTCCTTCCCGTCAACGTCCAGGCAGACGCGGGCCACAGACAAGAGTGCGTTTCTAGTCTGCACAGATGGCAGGACACCGAACGGTTCATGATTATTACTTTCTTCTAGTTAAAAACATGTTCTGGAATTCTTTCCACTTCAGAACAGATACACCTTATTTTTTCTGCTGTATTTATCTTTTCTATAAGCACAGGCAATACACAGATAAATGTTCGGTGCAAAAGACACGGAAACGTGCGTGAGTCTCTGTCCGCCTGTGCCCGACACTCCCTGAGGCAGCATGGGGTTGCTCTTGCTGGGGTGTTCCACGCTTCTCTGCATTTCCCAGTGGACGGGCACCCATACAACTTCACATCAGTGTGTATTCTATGGGCACGATGGCTCACACTTTTAATCCCAACACTTTGGAAGGTTGAAGCGAGCGGATCGCTTGAGACCAGGAGTTCAAGACCAGCCTGGGCAATATAGCGAGACCCTTGTTCTTCCTATCAAGTTTTTAAAACTTTGTTTCTAATATCTCTTACTACATAAAACTTTTGAATTTTATCTGAACAAGTCACAGGTGTCCATCTTTTCCTTCATGGCTTCTGAGTTTGTGTCTTACACTAGAAGAACTTCCTCATTAGAGACTGGAAAAAACAGTTTCCTGTATTTTCACCCATAGTTGAATATTTTGTACTGACACTTTAAGCCTTCTGGAATTCATTTTTAAAAATACTAGCCACAGTAAGATATGTTTCGCCCACTCAAAAATCGACCCTGCACCGTATGTGGTTTCAGTGGGTTAATATCTTCTGAGGTGTGTAGCCGGCATCACTCTCTTGACTCTGGAATGGAGCCGGCATTTGTCACATGCCCTGATGCCAGTGCAGGCCTGCCTTTTCCCAAAACATTTGTCAACTGTCCCAGTCCCTCTTAACCACTGATCTAAAACCCCAGTCTCACAACTGAACTTTATATACACATCACAGACTCCCTGCCCCACTCATTAACCGCCTCAGCGCACCTGAGTAGGCGTCCCCTCTGGCAGCTGCGTCCCATGCTCGGGCATCCCCCACGGCCCAGGTGCACACAGTCCGCACTACATCTGTGAGGGTCTCCACCTCCACCCTGACTTCAGGACCAGCAGTTACACAGAAGTCCTGCTAGGATCTTGATGGGAACTGTTCTGAATTTATAGACAGATACGGGGAAAATAAAGTAATGGAGCTTCTCACTCAAATAATGAGTTTCTCCATGAACTTAGTTTTTAACCTCTTTCATCAGTTTTTACTTCCCTCCATATTAACAAGGAACACTCATTTTTCTGTTGTTTATTTCTAGGTGCTCTGGTGGTATAAAGAAATTATAACTACCTTTTTAGGTCTGATATTGTGGTTTGTTTTTCAAAGAGTCCTTGTCTTTCAAAGATCTCTACTGAAATACCTGCTCCCAGATAACCCACGTGTGGAGAACAAGGCCAAATGCTGGAGACTGCTCACTGTCTTCTGTGTGTTTGTGCAGTTTGAAATTTTATACATAGAAAATCTTTTAAAATATCCCTAGGCATTTATTGATTTTACTGATAATGCTGACACTACATTTTCTAACTGGTTACTGTAGCTATACAAGAAAATAACTAGTTTTTATGTCTTGATCACATGTAAGGTCAGCTTAATAGCTGTAATAGTTTTTTAGCTGATTTTGCTAGATGTTTCAGATGGATGAGTATATTCTCAGCAAACTCTTCTCCTTTGTCTTTTAAAATATGAATGCTTCTTTCTGGGTCTTCCCTCATACAATCAGCAGGAACAGTCAAGGCTGCTGTGTTCATGTCAGAGGTGACAGCGGCAGCCCCTCCCTTGTTTCATGACTGACAATCGAAACATTCTAATCCTTTCGTAAGCGTTCTGACACCTCAGTCATCTTTAACGGGAGTTTTCATTTCGTGGATAGTTTTCTTATTTTAAAAATAAGATAGGCGAATGAAACCACTAATTAAAAGCAGCAGATTAACAACACAGTTAATTCCACTTCCTTCCAAAACTCTGGCAGAGCGACTTTTAACGAAGAAACAAGAGCTACTTTATGAAGGGCTGCCTGATCACTGCACAAACGACAGCTGTAGGGTATCAGGCGGATGCTGAAAACCCGAGGAGATTAGAAAGAGAAGGGTAACCGCTGACATCAGAGTTAAAGGGAGGCGGGGCGCCATCGCTCACACCTAGGATCCAGGCACTTTGGGAGGCCACGGCAGGTTGACCACATGAGCCCAGAAGTTCAAGATTAGCCTGGGCAACACAGGAAGAGACTGCCGATTGAGAGACCCTTGTCCCTACAAAAAAAGGAATTTTAAAAAATTAGCTGGGCATGGTGGCACACACCTGTGGTCCTAGCTACTCTGGAGGCTGAGGTGGGAGGATCACTTGAGCCCAGGAGGTGGAGACTATAATAAACTATGATTTGCCACTGCACTCCAGCCTGCGCAACAGAGCAAGATCCTGTCTCAAAAAATAATAAGAAAGTAACAGAAAGAGAACTCGGAGTCTGACACCCAAGTGAAACAGGAAGAGAGCAAGCTGGGAGTAAGCCAGGCTGCTTCCTGCATCTGTCCTGGGGGTGGATAGCAGGCCACAGGCCAAAAGCTGCCAGTCCCCCATCCAGAAGGACACAACACTGGTCACCAGGCCCACTTATGGCTTCAGGCTAAAAGGGGAGGGTCCATCTCTCCCTTCAGCAGCACCCAGAGTGGCTGCCATGCCCAGCTGTCAGGAAACGTGACCCTGCGAGAGGCTTCCGAGCAGAATGGCTAAACCAGGACACCAGTTGTTTTAGGTAAAAGGCAGGCCACGCATAGAAAAAGGTATCACGTCGACTCGACTCCACAGCAACGGCTTGTATCCGGGCCAAAGAACCCTGTTTCCAAAAGGACAAACAGCCCAGTAGATAAATGGCTGGGAATGTGAACAGGCACTTCACGGAAGGCATTCAAATGGCAAAACAAGCTTGTGAAGAAGTACTCAACCTTCTTGCAAATCATGAAAATGCAAATCAAAGTGAAAACATTATCTGCTCACTGGAGTGGCGGCACTGAGCGTGGCCGGCATGGCAGAGGGGATGCTCTGAGGCGGTGGGGAGCTACATGGCAGTGTCCATGGAGGCTGGCGCAAGGCACGGCGGTTCCCTTCCCAGTGGGCACCCAGGGAAACACCTGCATGAGGGTGCTGGCGGCGACCTCCTCCGGGACGCCCCCACTGGACCACCCCCAGGCCATCCACAGTGGGGTGGATACAGACACAGGAGCAGTCATACAGAGGAATTCTGCATGGCCTCCTCTGGCCTCAGGCCTGGTGTGCTCTAAAATAGCACCAAGAACCATAAAGAGCTGTGTTAACATGAGTTCATACACATGCTGTAGTAAAGATTTCAGCTAAGACACGTTCAAACTACAAGGGCACAAAGTCAGCCACCGACCATAGCAAAGCCATCATCACATGCAACCCCACGGAATGAGAGTGAAAAAGGAGCACAATACCTCAGCACTGTTACAACAGTTTTCATCTGCAGACTCTCTGAACGGGTCTCGGAAAGCCCCCACCCAGACCCCTCTGAAAACTACTATTCCATAACAATGAAAATTAACTAATAATATCAATAAATCGCACAAACATAATGTTGAGTAAAAGAAGCCACACTAAGGGAAAAAAAAAGAATGCATACCATGTAATTCCATTTATATAAAGAACGAAATCAGACAAGACAATCACGTAGTGTTAGCACTCAGGAAAGGGGTTACTTTTGGGGATGGGAGTTAGGTGGGCTTCTGCAGTGCTGGTAAAATTCAAGGCTTTCATCTGGGTGGTGGTCACACAGGCATGTAATTCTTTAATCATTACTGAGCTGTCCCACTGTCATACATGCAATTATAAAGCAATGCCCCAAATTCAGAAAACATAAAGCTGATTGAACTTTATAAAATACCTTTTTTTTTTTTCTGAGACGGAGTTTCGCACTGTCACCCAGGCTGTAGTGCAGTGGCGCGATCTGGACTCACTGCAATCTCTGCCCCCTGGGTTCAAGCAATTCTCTTTCCTCAGCCTCCCAAGTAGCTGGGACTACAGGAGTGCAACACCATGCCCAGCTAATGTTTTTGTATTTTTAGTAGAGACAGGGAGGATTTCACCATGTTGGCCCGAATGGTCTTGATCTCCTAACCTCATGATCCCCCTGCCTCGGCCTCCCAAAGTGCTGGGATTACAGGTGTAAAATACCTTTTAAACACATATATACTCTGTAGTTTTTCTCATTTATTCTGTTAATCTAGGAAATCTTGTTATTTAAGTAATATATTTCTAGTAACAAATCACTCTTGGCCTGGGGTAAGCCCTACTCCCTTCCAATCATTATTTTAATGTGCCACTGCATTTGATTAATATCTTATTTAGGACTTGCGATATTTAGGATTTAGGTGAGTTCAGCCTATATTTTAGCCTCAAAATGGGCTAGTGTACTTTTCCTATCCTCCTCTACTCTCTGGAGCCACTTATATAACAAAACGATCACTGCTGATTGCAATCGTTCTGATCTGCAGGCTCCTGTTGACCGTCAGCCCTCATCTAGTTAGGACTGTTCCTGCCATCCTGTTCTGTTTTACACTGACCCCATTTTCTTCTTGGTTTTGCTTGTGTTTTTTGATTCTTTTCTTGCCTTGACAGTCGCTTAATGTTTTACTTTATAACAAATACCTAGAGTTATTCAGTGTCCAGTTCCTCTAGAAGATGAGAACTTCACTGGAAAGAATCTAGAAATACTCAAATTAATATGCTACGTGATTCATGAACACGGCACTGTAACTGAGAAGGGAAGAAATGGCAGTCAGGCGGTGTTGAAACCTTGCCTAGGCATTTTGAGGGAAGCCCTGAGACCCTACCTCACATTTTCTTTTAAAAACTTTATTGAGATGTAACTAATACATCATAAAATTCACCCATTCTGAGGAGGTCTACCTGATATTTTAATTCTATAGGAATCAAGTATTTCTATACAAGAATGAAATAAAAGAAGGATTAAAAGATGGCGTACACCAATTTATTCGAAATCATCAGTGAGAAAGGTTTATCATAATTAGAACAAAGAACCCAGAAATCACGCAGAAGCTGACTAGTACCTGTGGGTTCTGACATTAGAGACAAGGTCAAAAGACACAATCAGCTGGGTGCGGTGGCTCCTGCCTGTCACCCCAGCACTTTGAAACCCGAGGTGGAAGGTTCACTTAAGCCCAGGAGTTCAACCAGCCTGGGCAACATCGTGGGATCCTGTCTCAAGAAAAAACAAGAAACATCAGCTGGACATGCTGGCACGTGCCTGTAGCCCCAGCTACTCAGGAAGCTGAGACAGGAAGATCGCTTCAGCCCAGGATTTTGAGGTTGCACTGAGCTGTGATCATGCCACTGCACTCCAACCTGAGCAACAGAGTAAGACCCTGTCCCAAAAACATTAAAAACAAAAAACAAAAAACCCAAAATCCACCTGGGGAAGGAAAAAAACCTCAGGTCATCCTGGAGCCAACAGACCAACTCCTCATTGACAAAAGGATCCTAAGACTATGTTCAAAAGTTGCATAATCCAGTAGAAAAAATGAGCAAGGGATACTTAGCTGCGTACAGAGGAACAAATGCAGGTGGCTGCGCAGCCCCAGGCATGACTCAGCAGTGAAGAGCTGTTGCTCTCCTAGGAAGGCAGCCCTGATGGGGAAGGAGAGGAAATCGCCCCCTCAGGGTTCTGCAGGTGGGAGGATACACCCAGAGGTGGCCTGGTGACATGCAAGTGCTACACTGTAAATGCAGACAACACTGATGAGCCATGAGCACACTCGGCAAAGCCGTGACCCTGAGTGCCCTGGAAGCACTGCTTGTCATTCGATAGAATGGAGCCTAACACAGCTGAACAGTGCGAAAGAGTGACAGGCATGTTCGTGCTGAGACCGAGGGATGTGGCTGGGGCTGGGGTTTAACAGGGAGCCGCTCCCCGTGCAGTAGGGGCTGCCCGTCCCTCAGGGAGGGCCGGGTTGTGTTGGCCACATCCAAGGAAGTTACTGTAGTGACTATTTCAAAGAGTATCAGAGCCACCAGGGGTGATGGTGCTGTTTTCTTCCTTATACTTCTTCATATAAAAGAAGAAAAAACTAATTATCTTAAAATAAAAAATGTTAAAATCCTCTTTAAATATCTAATGGTAACATTTCTCACTAACTTTTTAATAATCAAGCTAAGAGCTGGGAGCAACATTTAAAAAGTTGCCCTAATACCTGCTAAAAATGTACAAGACTTTGAAACTGAAGCAAAGGAAGAAAACGCGTCCCCAAAACTCTGACAAATGATAGAAAATGCTCTGTATACATTAAAGGATATACCCATAGCACACAAAGCTGACTGAAAGTATATAAAACTAACCAATAAAATTACACATTTTCAAACAAGTCACTATTTGAATTGAATTCCTGCTATTAGTTTTAGAATAATTTATCAGACAGAAGAGTGCACCTAAAGATGGATACACTTGAACAATAAAACCACGGATATTTATGTCAGCTTGATTCTTAACTTCCACTGTTCACCCTTACGAAACGCATCACTCCTAATTAACCCCTCAGAACTAAAAAAGTGTGAATTTCTGCCTAAATCTCAAAGCCTACCCCAAAACTGTGCGCTAAGAACTTCCTCAGTTTCCCTGAGAGACTGGCGCAGGTGCCCGTGCCTGGCCCGGGGCAAGAGCGCAGCTGCGACGTGGCTGGGGACTCGCCCGGGCTTGTCCTTGTCCTTTCGCCGACACAGGATGAGGCCATCTGTGGAGAGAGCACACCTGGCCCACATGTGGTGTCCAGAGTGCTACGTGGCAGACTGTGCAAAACCAACTGCAAACAAGCATACAGCAAGCCGCCAATTAGCGCTTCAAGCTGTCAGCATTATCACTCCTGTCAATCTAGAGCCCAGAAGCTCAAGAGGCCGGCGCCATGGCTCATGGCTGTATTCCCAATGCTCTGGGAGACTGAGGCGGGAGGATCACTTGAGCAAAGGAGTTCAAGACCAGCCTGAGCAGCAAAGCGACTCCCGTCTCCATAAAAAAATTTAAAAATTAGCCAGGCATGGTGGTGTGAGCCTGTCATCCCAGCTGCTCGGGAGGCTGGGATGGGAGGATCACCTGAGCCCAGGAGGCTGAGTGCAGTGAGCTATGATGGTGCCACTGCACTCTAGCCTGGGTGAGAGCAAGACCCTGTCTCAAAAAAAGAATGAAAGAAAACACAGAAAAAAACAAGAGGTTTATTTCAATGAATGATGTACAGAAAGGCAAATACTTCTTAAATGAAAATAATCTAATAATTCAAGAAAAATAAAATACAAAAATCCAAGTCAATTGTAAACAGGGGATTTTATCAGAGACTAGAAGTGACCAGACTGCTAATTCTCAGAACTACGGTCAACTTTGTGATCATCTTCCCTCATGCTGCCACTCAAGACGGCGACACCTACCTTCTGGGTGCGGTCCACCTCCGACATGCTCTCCTTGGAAGTCCTGCTGTCCTCTGTGGGGAAGGCGGCCGCCTGCTCCGCGCCGTGGCTGTCATCCTCCTCGAGCTCCTCTGAGTCGTCCTCGTCTGAGTCCATCTCCAGGCTCTCCCCATTCACGTGCAAGTTGCTGGCACCCAGGTCCTTCTCCCCCTAGAACACGGACAGGTGTACACCCCAAGGCAGGACCAGTGCGCACCGTGAACAAACCTGCTTTCCCTGAGGAGTCTTGGGTGACCAGGAGGTGCAAGGGCCTGTGGGAGGCGGGGACACATGAAGAGGCACCCCTGCCACCTGGAGAAGAGCCCGGCAGGCAGGTGGGCTGTGGCAAGGAGGGCAAGGAGGGCAGGGAGGAATCCCCACAATGACCTCGAACACCGTGCACCGTGCCCCTGACAAGGAAGACAGTGAGGAGTGCCCACAATGACCTCAGACACAGACAGCGTGCCCCTATGGCAGAGGAGCTTTAGAGTCCTGGCACCTTCCCAGGGACTGAGGTCACCCAAATTACTGATAACCAGGCCCTGAACACAGAAACCCACTTCCACACACATGTGGCAAGTCACTCGAACAGGCCTCTTACCTTGGAACCCACAGTGGAATGAGTTATGCTCTTAAACATCTCAATCACCGTCCTCTGTTTTAATACTTTGGTCTTTTTCTTAGGAACCAGGCTATAGGTTCCCATCCTTCGTTTTTTCTTCCGAGATACTGCAGCTGCTAAAACAAAAGGCAAGCAAGCTAAAAAAAAAAAAAAGTCAAAAGGGGACAAGAAAGGAAAAGAAACACCATTCAAATGTTTTTTAAAGGTAGGAGACAGTTTACAAAACTTGATCACCAAAATCATCACCAACAAACCCCGTCACAACAGGCGCACTGCCCACGGGCCATCAGTACAGTGACCGGCATCCTTCACTTGCAATAAATTCGCAGAGAATCGGAAACACTTCCTAGATCATCTGTTCATCTGCTCCGTTCACAATAAAACACTGAGCGAACATTATCACCCCACCATGGAGGCAGGAAAACCAGACCGTCAGTGGCGGGCTCTGAAGTGACTCCTCCTCCCAGTCCCCTTGGCTTTCAACACATGGGATGACTACCCTTGAGAAGTCCTCTCACTTTGCAAAATAGACCAATGTGAACAGCATGTGCAGCAGAAGGGACGTGCGTGGAGCAGGAAGAGCCCAGCCTCCCCCCACCACAGGGGCCAAGCCAGGCCAGGCTTCCCTGGACACAGCTCTGTGCCATGTCCACCCCTGCGACCCTGCAGGGGCCCTCCCCCAACAACAGCCTCCTTGCGCTGCAATCCGGTGACTAAGGGGAAAAAGTCCCTGGAGCTACTGTCCAGCTCTCTATTAAGACACAAGAGGGTAAGAGGGAGGAACATACGTCTGGGGAGCCTGGAGTCACAGTTTTCAAACACAAGCAGCAGCAAGGATGGGTTCCGGGGGCTCCCAACCCCATTCTGAGCAAAGCAGTTCCAGGTTTGATTGGTTTTATATAATCAGACTCTATGACTTTTTTTTTTTTTTTTTTTTTTTAAGTTCCAGGATTTAAAGAAAAAATAGATCGAAAAGCCACTGCTTTAACTTGAAAGAAACTCTCCTAAAGGGCTGGGGAAAATCCATTCTGTTTAAAGCTAGGCACAGCAGCTCATGCCTGAAGACCCAGCTATTGCCGAGGCTTGAGGGGGCGGGAGGGATTGCTTAAGCCCAACACACAGACACGCACACGAGCCAACACACACACACACACACACACACACACACACACACACACACACACCCCTCTACAAAATGCAGAAGCAACAGTTGGAAGAAAATGAGAACCAACCAAAGCAGGTGGGTCCTGTGGGTCCTGTGACAGCACCACAGGACCACAGCACATCTGCCCTGGAGTTAGGAAGTGCCTGGGGCCATGGGCACTGGGACACAATCACCCCATGCCCCCATAGTATGTTCATGGGGATCGGGCTCTGGGCTCACAGCCGACATGCAGAGACACTGGGTTCTGTCTGTCTACTCTGGAACAGGCTGTGCGTAAGCCACAAAAGTCCCTTGGCAGCCCTAAGAATCAAAAACTCAACTCACTATCACGATCATCTTAATACTCTGAATAGATATTTTGTGGAGTAGATGAAGGAGGCCTGGATTTAATCAGATAACTTTTAAGTCTCTGAGCTTTAAATATATATACACTGACTTTTGTACATGGATTTGAATCACATAGGTCCACTTACATGCGGATTTTTTCCCCCAACCAAACAGGTTGAAAATACAGTGTTTGCAAGATGCAAAACCCTGAACACAGAGGTCCAACTTTTAATATCACCAGGTTCTGCAGGGCTGACTGTAAGATTGCGGCATGCTCAGATTTCGGTCTAGGGGAACAGACGTCTACTTTCTCACTAGATTATTTTCCTTATTTCATCTTGGTAACCCATGGTTTTTGTTTTTTTGGAGACAGAGTCTCACTCTGTTGCCAGGCTAGAGTGCAGTGGTGAGATCTCAGCTCACCGCAACCTCTGCCTCCCAGGTCAAGCGATCCCCTGCCTCAGCCTCCCAAGTAGCAGGGACTAAGGTGCGTGCCACGACACCCGGCTACTTCTTTAGATTTTAGTAGAGACGTAGTTTCACCATGTTGGCCAGGATGGATGCTGTCGCTCCCCTGACCTCGTGATCCATCTACCTCGGCCTCCCAAAGTGCTGGGATTACAGTGTGAGCAACGAATCAAACATGACACTTGTTTATAAATAAAGCTTTACTGGTGCACAGTGGGCCTGTGGGAGGGCACTCCCACTGTCTACACCCCGTCTCCATCCGCTTCCATCCGACAACACCATGACCGGCTCGGACGGGAACACTGCAGCCTGCAAAGGCTCTGGTGCTTGCTACCTGTCCCCTAGAAAGTTTGCTGACTCCTTTAATGAACTGCAGAGTAAAGACAAAGGAGATAACCCTGAATTTCATTACTTAAGAATCATGTCAGAGCTGAGCACGTGGCTCACATCTGTAATCCCAGCACTTTGGGAGGCTGAGGCGGGCAGATCATTTGAGGTCAGGAGCTCAAGACCAGCCTGGCCAACATGGTGAAACCTTGTCTTTACTGTAAATACAAAATTAGCTGGGTGTGGTGGTGGCTGTCCCAGCTACTCGGAGGCTGAGGCAGGAGAATCGTTTGCACCTGGGAGGCGGAGGTAGCAATGAGCAAAGATCACACCACTGCACTCCAGCTTGGGCAACAGAGCGAGACTCCATCTCAGAAAAAATTTAAAAAAGATCATGTCAGGAAGTCTGTCTGCTGGAAACAAGTGAAGAACAGCATCTAATGGCCTCTTCTTACTGGCCTCACTTCTGTTACATGTGTGAAACAGACATTAGTTAAGTATATAATTTGCTCTATGTGAAACAGTAGAGAAACGTCTATGGATGACTTTCAGAAATGCAGAATCTATTCAGGACCTCAGTGTGTTTGCGCTCGTGGCTGGAGCGTGAAGAGGGGCCACTTCAGTGCTGTGTCCAGGGTGAGGGACTGGCCCTGAGCCAGAGGACAGGGATTCAGCATGATCAGGGTCCAGGAGTAAGAAAACTGCAGACAGCTGGCAGTAAGTTTAGACGAGGTCAAGGGCCTCTTTAGAAGGAGGATTTGTAGTCCAGACCTCAAGGAAGAGGGGCTAGTGCCCTGCAGACGCGATCTGGCACAGGAGAATCGCGGTGGAGAACATCAGGAAAGGGGAGGGGGAGGCCCTTCAGGACCCTGAGCAGAGAATCATGTCACCAGCTGGTATCTCACAGGATGCTCTGGGAGACCTAAGCATAGGACAGTGTGGAACAGACGGTTCCAGAAAAACAGTGCCAGGAGTGGAAGTGGGCATGGGGTGGGGGTGGACAGTGCCCAGCTGCTCTGCAGAAAGGCTGGGCTGCTTGGTAGAAGAGGTGTGGATAAGGAAGAAAAGCAGAAGGCTCCAGGGGGAAGGCAAGGTAGAAGGGAGGGTGGAGGTGCGGGGGGAAAAGCAGGTACACAGGACACAGCAGTCTGCATGGTCACCACCATACTCTGCTGCTCGGAAGGGTTTCTGCCCTCAGGTCACAAAGAGCAGGGCACCACTGGCCTCATCCCTGGACAGCAGCCACACAGAACTGTTCCCTGCCATTGGAGCCACCGTCCTCCGTCCTCCCTGCCCAAAAAGTCCACAGAGACCACGGGCCCATTCAGGCTCAGTATCTGGCACTGTTCCCACCAACATATGCAGAAGGCAGGAACACTCCAAGCTCACAAAGCAAAACGCAGAGCCTCTGCTCTGGGCATGTCCTGTGGTCACTGGGTAAAAAGTGCATGAGAATAACTGCAACTTCTGCAGGGACCTACAGCTTCTACCCAAGTGTAGACACCACACACAGCAGAGACCTGCAGCTTCCACCAAGTGTAGACACCACACACAGCAGAGACCTGCAGATTCGACCCAAGTGTAGACACCACACACAGCAGAGACCTGCAGATTCCACCCAAGTGTAGACACCACACACAGCAGAGACCTGCAGCTTCCACCAAGTGTAGACACCACATACAGCAGAGACCTGCAGCTTCCACCTAAGTGTACACACCACACACAGCAGAGACCTGCAGATTCCACCAAGTGTAGACACACCACACACAGCAGAGACCTGCAGCTTCCACCAAGTGTAGACACCACACACAGCAGAGACCTGCAGCTTCCACCCAAGTGTAGACACCACACACAGCAGAGACCTGCAGATTCCACCAAGTGTAGACACCACACACAGCAGAGACCTGCAGCTTCCACCCAAGTGTAGACAAAACACACAGCAGAGACCTGCAGCTTCCACCCAAGTGTAGACACCACACACAGCAGAGACCTGCAGATTCCACCAAGTGTAGACACCACACACAGCAGAGACCTGCAGATTCCACCCAAGTGTAGACACCACACACAGCAGAGACCTGCAGCTTCCACCCAAGTGTAGACACCACACCCAGCAGGAACTGAGGCTTCCATCCAAGTGTAGATACCACACACAGCAGAGACCTGCAGATTCCACCAAGTGTAGACACCATGCACAGCAGACCTGCAGCTTCTATCCAAGTGTAGACACTCAAACTGCTGTAAGACTTTTTACTTTTTGTTTTTTTTTTTTTGTTTTTTTTTTTTTCGGTAAATACACTCACAGCAAAATGTACCATCTTTATCACCTTTAAGTATACAGTTCAGTGGTATTAGATACATTCAAAATGTTGTGCAACTATCACCACTATCTACCTCCACAACACTTTCCCTCTTGTCAAACTGAAGCTCTGTTCCCACTAAGTCCGAACTCTCCAGCCCCTGCCTCCAGCCCTTCTCCTGTCTGTCTCCATCAGTTTGACGACTCTAGGGACCTCTTGTAAGTGGAACTATCCCACATTTGTCCTTTGTGGCTGAGTGATTTCATTCGGCATCGTGTCCCCAAGGCTCATCCACGCCGCAGCACAGGTCCCAGCCTCGCTCCTCGGGCTGAGTCCCACTCGCTGTGTGCACACGACCCTCTGCGATCCTCCCCCAGCTGGCCCTCGGGTGGCTGGCCCCTGTTGGCTGCTGTGAACGATGCTGATGTACAGACGTCTCTTCAAGATCTGCTTTCGGTTCTTTTGGGGCACATGCCTGGTAGTGGAATTGCTGGATCACATGGTAGTTCCGTAGTTAATGTTTTGAGGAATCAAGATCGTGTTTTTCATGGCG